GCATGTCATCCTTGCTAGCTTTTTGCCTCCTCTTTTCGGACAGTTTGCCCATGCTGAATCACTTCAGAAATAATCCTCCTCTTGGGATTTGCTTCTTTGGAATCTCACCTAAGACATTGTGGTCACGATAGATAACTGTCTTCTGATTTATTATCTCTTTAGTGTAATTCATCTTCATACGTTTCGCTTGAAGCAAATGTCGGTGCTCCCAAACTCACATTCTTGCTCTTAGGCTTCATGGGGACCACTTGAGGGTGGTCGACCCCATGGGCAACTTGAGGGTCTATACCTACACTTGACACTATTTGGCAATCCCAAGGGGTGCTTTTGCAGTGTGTTATGTTGAAATTTTAATATTTTAATGTTCATCCTTATTCACACCTAAGGTGATCTAGGTTAAATCAGATTCCCATTTAAAATGCAAGCCATAACTACATTGTCCCCCATATCCCAACTAAGTCAAGATCTTCTACAAGTACAAAATTATATGCTATGCAACGAATGGGGAAAATAGTTTTTTGGCTTACACAAGAGAAGAGGCAGAACAAGAGGAAGAAAAACCTTTGCTCCATAGTTGGCAGATGGCGAGGATCCTGGAAAAGGAAATGCATCTCTTCCCACGATCTCTGGTTTTTATGACCTAGAGATGTCTCTGAGATTCTAGAACTTATTTTCCTTGAAATGGAAATACATATTTCCCAAGTCAGGCATAGTTCTCTTGATTTCTCTCACTAGCCATGCAGTGGTAAATTAACTTCTCAAGCTTGGGATCCCAGATCTGTAACAAAATTTATTCAAAAGCTCCAACTCCATAGAACAATAGGAATATTCTCTGTATATCCGCACATACCTGCCTCAGGAATCATCAGAAGCTGCCAACTGTCTACCTCTGCCCACACTGGCTGAAGGCATTTCCCTTGAGAAATCTACAAGCCTGGGCTGGACATAAGGACTTGCTATTTCTACCGGTCTCCATTTCTGGGTGGCAAAATGGATCATTGTTCTCTCATCAAAAGAAAGTATTTCAGTAGTAATAAAATAGTTCACATACATAATGTATGTTTTTGCAAAGTCTCAGCAGTTTTCAAAGTTGTCTCTTGCTTTAATAATCCCAGACGACTTACAGAATGTACTCTTTGATCATTTTGGGTCTAAAAAGAAAGATCTCCAAGGACCTCTCATGTCTTGTGAACAGATACTGACAGCTTTGGTCTCAACTGTCAATTTAATGAGGTTTGAAGCCTTGGAAGGTGGAGATAGTGTCCCCCTGTGGAGCAGAGAGCAGGTCTGCTTACTTTTCAGGACTGAGAAGATAATGTCTGTATCTGGGATGGAAGTCAGACAGGTTGGCTTGCGGCTCATTGTGACAACATTGGGCTTCCTAAGCTCCGAACTCTTCAGCTCTGATGCTACCTCATTGTGTGCACAGCATCCATCTTCCCGACTGAGTCCAGAGCAATCCAACTGCTGCTATAGAAAATACCTACAAATGTGAAGTTGGGAAGTTGGCAGAGGCTAAAAGAAATTTGGACAGCATGACAAGAAAAGTGTAGATTTCTTGAGCAGACAGTTAATGACTGTTGGGCACAGAGGAAGTGATGCGCGTGGTAGAAAACTAACAGATAACTTATGAAATACCTAAATTATCCTAACGGTCTGTTGGTAGAGATATGGACATTGAAAGCACTGCAGGTGAAGTTCAGATGGAAATGAAGAACTTGCTATTGGAAGCTGGAGAAAAGGGAACCCTTGTTATGTAGTGGCAGACAGCTGGGATGAATTGTGTTCTGCACTTGTGTAGAAGGCAAAATGAACATCCCACAATGAACTTGGGTACCTCGCTAAAGAGATTCGCATGTAGAGTGTTAGAGAAGAGGCCTGATTTCTTACCACTTAGGGTAACATGCAAGAGGAAAGAGAGAAATTGAAGGAAGAATTGTTAAGTGAAAAGAACCCAGGACTTGACAATTTCACAAATTATCAGACTATTCACATTATAAAAACACTAAAATCAGGAGATATGGGGTCGACGCTGTGGCACAGCGGGTTAACGCCCTGGCATCCCATATGGGTGCAGGTTCAAGATCCGGCTGCTCCACTTCCGATCCGGCTCTCTGCTATGGCCTGGGAAAGCAGTAGAAGATGGCCCAACTCCTTGGGCCCCTGCACCCTCGTGGGAGACCCAGAAGAAGCTCCTGGCTCCTGGCTTCAGATCAGTATAGCTCCGGCTGTTGCAGTCAATTGGGGAATGAACCATCAGATGGAAAACCTCTCTCCCTCTGCCTCTCCTCTCTCTGTGTAACTCTTTCAAGTAAAAAAAAAAAAAAAAAGTCTTTAAAAAAAAAATCAGGAGGTCGGCGCCGTGGCTCACTAGGCTAATCCTCCGCCTGCAGCACCGGCACCCTGGGTTCCAGTCCAGCTCTCTGCTGCTGTGGCCCGGGAGTGCAGTGAAGGATGGCCCAAATTTTTGGGCCCTGCACCTGCATGGGAGACCAGGAGGAAGCACCTGGCTCCTGGCTTCGGATCGGTGCAGCACCGGCCATAACAGCCATTAGCGGAGAGAACCAACGGAAAGACGACTTTTCTGTCTCTTTCACTGTCTATAACTCACTCTCTGTCTCTACTCTCTCTCTGACACTCTCTCTCTCACTGTCTAACTCTGCCTGGCAAAAACAAACAAACAAACAAACACCTCAGGAGATACACATCAGAAAAGCATGCTGTAGAAAGCTAATGGTGTGATTGGACAAACTATTCTCTCACACAGAGGGCTCTTTAAAAAGATTAAGGATACGACTGGTCACACCATTTATCTGAGAACCTAGGAATAGGGAAAGGGTGATTCAGGAATTATTTATGAAGAAGGCTCTTGTCTAACGAAGTGAATTCCTAGGGCCAGCGTGTGGTGCAGCAGGTTAAGCAGCCTGCTGCTTGCAACACCAGCATCCCATACTGGAGAGCTGGTTCAAGTCCCAGCTGCTCTGCTTCTTTCCAAGCTTCCTGCTAATGTGCCAGGGAAGGCAGCAGGTGATGGCCCAAGTGATTGAGCCCCTGCCACTCAAGTGGGAGATTGAGAAGGAGTTCCTGGCTCCTGGCTTCAGCTTGGTCCAGTCTCAGCTGTTAGCAGCCATTTAGGGACTAACAGATGGAAGATCTCTCTTCCTGTCTCTCCCTCTATCTCTGTCACTCTGTATTTCAAATAAATAAATGAATCTTTTTTTAAAAAGATTAAGAAGTGAGTTCCTATGATATTTCCCGGAGACTCACAATGTTGTTGACAGTGTTAATAGCAGCAGAAACATTGCCAACTTGAACTGAAAAGGTCAGAGACGGGTCAGATCAAAGGCTGTCAAGCTCACCAAATTCTACGTACAGGAAACATGCTGATAAAACTGCTCAGCTACAAATACATTTTACTCTTCAAGAAAACGGAGCAAAGATTCTAAGGGCAGTACTTCAAGCCCAGAGGTTGGAGTCACAAGTCACAGATATTTTTTTCGGAGTCTTGAAGCATAATGCAGTTTTTCCATTTGAAGTTGCCTGGGGCTAGTGACTTTTTTCCTTCCTGTTTTCTTTCCTGAATGGAAATATTTATAACTAATATCTTATGCTTGTGACATCATTGTGTTTTGGGAATAACTTGCTTTTTAGTTTTACAGGTCCACAGATACAAAGCAGTTCTCCCCTAGGTTGGAACATATCTAGGATCTCACCAATATATAACTTAGCTAAGATTTAGATGATACATTGGACTTGGAGATGATGCTGTAATGGATTGAGATTTTGGAATTTTTGGGTAGAATAAATATATTTTGCATATAGGCTGGACATGAACTTTTAGGGGACAGAGGCTGGTAGGCTACGGGCTCCCCAACATGCCTACATCCTAATCCCTGGACCTGGGAATATATTAGCTTATCTGGCAAATGGGACCTTGTAGAAGTGAAAGATTTTAAGATGGGGGGATCATACTAAGCAATCCATTCCCATCGCAAGGGTTCTTATGAGGAGGTAGGTAGGCCAGAGACAGATATGTTAACAGGAGCAGAAATTACAGTGATGCGGGGTCAGGAGCCAAAGAGTGTGAGCAACCTCTGGAAGCTAGAAATCCTGAAAAACCAATTCCTCCCTAGAGCCTCCAGATGGAACACAACCCAGAGAGTGATGTTGGCACGTCTGTATTCTAGAACTGTAGAATAAATGTGTGTTCTTCAAGCCACTGGGTTTGTGGAAATTTGTTACAGCCTAAAATGAACCCAGGAACCAACATGAGTGTGAAGCTTATGCAGTCTGGTGTGCTGGAATGAAGTTGTTTCTGAACCAGGAATCTTATGACTTCTGGCAGCTCCCATGAGACTGTGGCAAGTCAATTTGCAAGAGTGGTAAAACTTTAGACCTGTACAGTGCTTAACATTTACTTCATAAAAATTATGGTATATTCATGAATATTTTCCCAACTTTTTAACTATCCCACAATCTTCTAATAAATATACTTCTATATAAGGTACCACTTAAATATCTTAATAGGAAATAATCCATCATTTATATTTGGTTAATTATGAATAATACACATATGGGAAGTTGATAAAATCTTTTTTTTACCATTCTTGATTTCTTGCATGAAAAAACTGTGAAACTAGGGAGTATCTAATTGCAAGAATGTGTTACAGTAGCTCGAATTACAATAACTTTCACTCTATTCTACTGTGTAGTGGTAGCATCTTAAAAGAATATTTCCTCAAAAGATATTATGGGGAAGGGATTTCATTTGGGAAAATAATTCCTAAACAAAATCTTGTACATGGTTCATATCACTATGATGTGTATGATATATCTAGGAGACTCACAATGTTTTTGAAAATGCTACACCATAGAAAATGTTACACTTAACATACACTCTATGATACAGTCAGCACTGTCCCAGAGTAGGAGGCAAATAAATGTGGTAGATTTTTAAGGAAATAAAAAGTAGGATGTGTGAGAACAAAAAACCAGAGAAATTTCTTGTGCAATCAAATACATTTATTTTGTAGCTTAAGCAAGATGAGTGGTGGACAAATTGAGAATGAAGATGCCACCCAAGGATTTGCTGCTGGCCATGCATGCAACTGTGTGCAAAGTCACGTGCAAGTTTGAATCCTTCATGAAATTAACTCTGGATTGCCCATGTGTTTACATGATCCAGCCTCTCTGAAGACCTATTAGTGGTATATTTACAGCTCATCAGTTCAAAGCTAGATGATGACCACATTTACCAAGTAAATAGCACATCCAACAGTGTTTTTCCTCAGCCAATATTGTAGTATTGTTCTGCAGCCAATGGCATAGCAGGGTAACTACAGATACAGCAGCAGACACACACAGGAGGTCTCTCCTCTCACTCAGCTGACAATATTCCCACATTTCTGGGGATAGGAGTGCCTCGCAATGTTACATGAATTGGTAGGAAATCTGAGGCAGGGTTGTGCCGGGTTGGAGCATGGGCAATTGAGGGTCCTCTGAAGAACTCAGCACAACCCAGCGATCTTGGCCTACGTAGGATGAGTCTCCTGACATCCTGGCAGACACCCAGATCCCTTGACTAAAGCTAGGCTCAGTCAAGGACTGAGTGAAAGGTATAGGGATTCAGGAATTGTACAAGAAATAGGAGGTGGTGCCCTGTTTTTCAGTGTTTTATGTATACCTAGGCCTCATCTGCACACAAAGCCATAAATTCACAAAATATGAGAGTTGGGAGGGATCATCCAGACATTGCACTTTACAGTTAAAAATATGGCAGCCCAAAGAGGTTAGGCAGCATGCCAACAGTAGGACATCATAGACACAGGGCCAGGTTACAACACAGTATGCTAACTCAAGACACTGAGTATTTGGCCACATTTTCCAACAATGAGGAAGATGAGATAGTGTAAATATTTTAATTTTTTTAAAAATGCCAAATTTTTTAAAAAGAAAAAAAAAAGGCAACCAAAACATTTTGGCTTAATCAGCTGTCTTCTGAGTTCTCTTTCTCTCTCTCTCTCACTCTCATTCTCTCTCTTTCTCTCTGCCTCATACACACAACTGTGGTGAATGGCTATCTCCTGTTATACAAAGAGCCCACGACTTCAGGAAGACACTTTACAGAGCCTGTTTCTCAATCCAGGTCTTTGTGTGAGGTCTGGGAAACTGGCTTATTTTCTAGAACAACAGGTGGTTCAGAAATCAGAAGATCGTCCTCCCCAAAGGAGGAGTTCTGGTCCGTGTTCACGAAGTTGGGGATGTCAAACCTCATGAGCTTGTTCAGCTCCTCCTCTGGCCGCCCACTGCTCCTGATGGCTTCCTGGAGCTGGACATCGCTATCTATGGCTGTGGTCTGGTGACAAGCTTTGGCCCTGTCCAAATGCTCCACTTCATTGATGTAGCAGTGAAAGAGAGACCTGGACTCCTCATTGCATTGGCGAGAAAACACCTTATCTGGCTCCAGGGGTCTTCCAAATTCTGACACAAAGCTATTCATTCTGAATCTCTTCTCTGAAGACTCAGTGTTGCTGTAAAGAAACAGAAAATACAAGGTCGCTTAAGTTCCAGCTCATCACCTGCAGAATCCGGATTTTGTGCATGTAGAGAAGGCCAGCATATCTCCACTAAGCACCTACTGGATTTACGTCACTCTGAGAGCATGCAAACAAACGGAAATGAGAGCCATGGGCAGTGGCGGGGGAGCTTGGGTGGGCGGGCGATGCCACGTCCTATCTACTATAGCAGTTCTGGTACAGGAGGTCAGCCATCTCACCTGCACCCACCTGGAGCCTGCTGATCCCTGAGCATGCCGCATCACGACACACGTGCAGCACACCCATGGAGCAGACACAGGCAGAGTAATCAATGGTGGCTAGGCTTGCACGGGAGCTGCTGCTTCTGGCATCGCTTCTACCCAGGCGGAGTCATTCAAATCAAACAACTGTTGTAACAATGTCAAGTAACTCCTCCCGGAATGCTTCCATTGCCCCAAGTCCAACCAATGCCATCACAAGGGCAGACAGTAACACCCTTCAAGTCAGCAACAGCCAGTCTTCTCATAGCCTCACTCTCTCTTTTACATCTTAAAGATGTTAAGAGACTCAGGGCAAGAAACATCAACATTTTCCCTCTTCTAAACATAATCCAAATGGCGACCAGAAGTCTAGTGTGGCAAGGAAAAACACCGATCTTCAGCCAGCACCGCGGCTCACTAGGCTAATCCTCCGCCTTGCGGCGCTGGCACTCTGGGTTCTAGTCCTGGTCAGGGCGCTGGATTCTGTCTCGGTTGCCCCTCTTCTAGTCCAGCTCTCTGCTGTGGCCCAGGAAGGCAGTGGGGTTGGCCCAAGTGCTTGGGCCCTGCACCCGCATGGGAGACCAGGAGGAAGCACCTGGCTCCTGGCTTTGGATTGGCGCAGCATGCCAGCTGTGGCGACCATTTAGGGGGTGAACCAAAGGAAGAAAGACCTTTATCTCTGTCTCTCTCTCTAACTCTGTCTGCCAAAAAATAAATACATAAATAAATAAAAAATCAGAATAGATTTTGTCTTAATGAGAGATAGAGGGTGGGATGTGGAATAGAGTCACTTTTCATTTGGTTTATTAAATGTATAAGGCCATAAACCAGTTAGATAATTCAAAAGCTTCCATGATTCTATTTTTATGTACATTAGAAGAAATTCTAGGTGTTACTGTAGATCCTCAATGTTTTAAGAAGTACTAATTTAATACTGATACACTCTAAAGTTCCGCATTGTTATCACTGTTCTCTTAAGAACTGAACTCTTCTTCTTTTTCTCTGAGATTTTGAATTGGACTTTGCACTTGACTTTTTATGTAGTATTTGACTTGTACTAGGACAATGATGGATTGGAAATACCCCCAAATCTAAGCTTGAATAAATCTTGCTTATCCTCCTAAAGTCAAATGGTAGGCATTTTCCATCCTGTATTTTCATTCAACAAGAATGTCAAAATCATTTAAACTTTAAACTGATTCCAAAGAATAGAAGTGCATTGAACTCAACTAATTTCAAAATGCTGTTTCTTTATTTCTGCCTATGTTGAATACTTTTGATAATTTTTTTTTTAATATGAAGGTGCAGATGCCACCTGGAGCAGCCAAGACTCGAACCAGTTCCCACCTGGGATGCCGGCATTGCAGGGGCAGCTTTACCTGCTACACCACAATGCTGGCCCCATACTCTTTTAGAATTGAAAAAAAGGTCTGTTTTGAAGGTGAAGTGAAAATATTTGAAATTAAAAATTGAAAGGCAAATACATGAAGGAGCCAAAACTGTAAATCAAGTATTTGGGAAGTATAGACTGGAAGTTAATTTGCATTAAATTCACAAAAACTTTTATACTCTTCATGTAGATGCCTAAAAAAATAAAAGCAACTATTGATCAGGATACTCACATCTGGAACCCTTTCTGTCATCAGTCAACATTTTTATTTATTTATTTATTTTTTATTTTTTTTTTTGACAGGCAGAGTGGACAGTGAGAGAGAGAGACAGAGAGAAAGGTCTTCCTTTGCCGTTGGTTCACCCTCCAATGGCCGCCGCTGCAGCCGGCGCACCGCGCTGATCCGATGGCAGGAGCCAGGATCCAGGTGCTTTTCCTGGTCTCCCATGGGGTGCAGGGCCCAAGCACCTGGGCCATCCTCCACTGCACTCCCTGGCCATAGCAGAGAGCTGGCCTGGAAGAGGGGCAACCGGGACAGAATCCGGCGCCCCAACCGGGACTAGAACCCGGTGTGCCGGCGCCGCAAGGTGGAGGATTAGCCTATTGAGCCACGGCGCCGGCTTTATTTTATTTTTTTTAAAGATTTATTTATTTGAAAGAGTTACAGAGAGAGGTAGAGACAGAGAGAGGTCTTCAATCCGCTGGTTCACTCCTCAGATGGCCGCAACGACCGAAGCTGCGCCGATCAGGAGCCAGGAGCTTCTTCTGGGTCTCCCACGTGGGTGCAGGGGCCCAAGAACTTGGGCCATCCTCTACTGCTATCCCAGGCCATAGCAGAGAGCTGGATCGCAAGTGGAACAGCTGGGACTAGAACTGGTGCTCATATGGGATGCGGGTGCTTCAGGCCAGGGTGTTAACCTGCTGTGCCACAGCGCCAACCCCATCAGTCAACATTTTGAAATCATTAGAACCTGATAGTTTTAAGCCTAAAGTTGGCTCAGTCTGCAGTAAATCTTTCACAGACCTTTGCAAAAATAGACACTCCCTGAAGTCTTTTGTTCATGTGGCACACAATGATGCTTAGATGTTCCAATATCTAATTATGGCCAGAGGAGACAGGAGCCTTGATAACCAAGGTAGTTTTTGTTTGTTTTGTACTATCTTTAGAAACCTACATAGGAACAAACAGGTTGAACAGATCTGAAGCTACTGTGTGTGTGACTGAACACTGTGTTTTGCTTCATATCTAAATGCTATACATCTGCTTTGGATTATGTAAGCATTTGAGTATTTATGCTTTGACTCATAGTAACTTCTCATGTTATGGAATTGATTTGCACTGAACACAAACTGTAAATAAAAAGAAATAAATTGCTGAAAGAGAAAAAGAAAAGAAATGACAGCCATCACTTCTGAACATGTATAAATAAACCAAGGCACAGCCTCAGGGCGAGAGATCCTGAATCTTCTGGAATCAGGCACCTGCTGTGGATTCCCAATATTCTGCACGTGTGCCAGTGTCCCTCGGCGAGATCCTTGGATCAGCTGCACCAGAATTACCCGAAGTGCTTCCGAAACTGCAGCTTCCTGGGGCACAGGCCCTCAGACTCCCTGGAGGTGGTGTGTAATTGATTTTCATAGAATCCTCAGGGGTCATTACTCATACTAAAGTTTGGCACCACAGACCTATATCAGGCCAGCCTGAACAACACTGCTACCACAAAGGACAGCATTCAGTATTTGTCAAAGCACTATAGTACCCATTTCTCTCGCTTGATTCACAAAACTGACCAGTGCATTACCTGGGGCAAGTACATTTTACACATCTGTGTACATCTTACAAGTGTATAAACCGAGGTAAGGAGCACTCAAATCTCTGGCTTGAACAGCACTATCAGTTAATGGCATGAGTGGGAATAAAACCCAGGTTCCTAATTCCTTGTTTCATGTAATGGGCTACAAATTAGCTGTACAATGATAATAAATGAGTGAATGGATGAATACAATAATTCTCAATTAGTCCCGCAAGTGCATAAAAGAAGGAAGCCAGGAAAATTGAGAAACATGATACCCTCTCTACTTTAACCCCTTTCATTTCCACATTTATATAAGGGATGCCCATGCATAGGTGGTGACTCCTTAGGGCAAGAATCATGTCTGAACACGTTTTCAAATCCATAATAGATCCTGCAAAAAGCAGCCTGTGAGAGTCTGCTCAACAAATGTAGAGTCTTCTCAGCGATTCCAGTTCTTAAATCTCTTCCTCCCCACCCCCACACTTAGGACAAAGTGCTTATGGCCCAATTCTTACAGGGAAGTGGAGCATCAAGTCCATTTTCAGGTCTGGAAATCTGATCATAGATCACTAGTTCCAAATTTCCAAGACTCACCTGGATTTCAGAGGGCAGTGATCCTAGAAGCTGTGCCATCCGGCTGGCAGGGGGCCTGGGTGTCCCGTCCTCTCCTAACATGATCATCTGTGGACTCTGGGGAAAGGAGTTCCCTTCAGAACCCTGAACTCTTCCTTTTAGTCATAAGTGGGGTCAACAAACTTCACTGCCCACCCAACAAATACAATGTGAAGATCAAGGGTTTGCACATGAGCACAAGAGTCACTAAATCATACATTTACAATTCAAAGAAAAAGTACTTTAGAGAGACCTGAAGACTTGGGCTTCAATGCAAATATAAGTGATCTTCTTTGGCCTGCATTCAGATGCTTGAGGACAGGGCTGAGTCAGAAACCTGAAACCTAACCAGCTACCTAATGTCGCATAGGAAAAACGAGAGGGGGAAATCAGGATTAGGTTGCTGAGACCCATAATAAGCCCCTAATTCCACAGGCAGGAAGCTCTGAGAAATAGCTTTTCTGTATACCTGGGGCACCAGTGGACCCAGAAACTTAGCTGTGTGAAGCAGCTCCTCCATAAACACAACTGCTCCTTGTGATTAAGATCTGGATCGTGGAAGCACCCTTGTCAGGGAACGAAGGCACAGGAAATAAGGAGAGTTTGGTCCCTACCTAGGGCACAGCCAGGACAGTGGACACGAAAGTCCATTTGTCCCCAGCCTAAGGATACATCAAGGCTTCCACAGACACTTCCTCCTAGCTTTGCCTGATGATCTCTCAGTATGACAACAATGAAATTTGTCTAAGAACAGCAAAAAGTTCATATTCCTACTCTCAGAATCTAAGGACCCTTCCAAGGGTCCGCACTTTCAAACACCATAATTGGATTAAGCTCCATCCTTAATTCATTCACACAGAATGCTGGGAATCAATCCCTCCATACATGGGTCTTTAGGTACACATCAAATACTCAATACACCATTTTATTTCTCTT